ACAGTTTATATTTCTAACTTGATTGACATCAGGGGCATTGAATCCTTCAGTTTAAGTGCCAGTCAGGCTTTGTGCAAAGAATCCAGCCTTTTGACCAGTGTCTCTCAAACTTTTCAACATGAGGATAAGTGGACTTTAACTCCCAGAATTCTCCAGCCAGCATGGAAAATTCTTGGAGTTGAAGTCCTCCTATCTTCATGTTGCCAAGGTTGAGAAACACTGATCTTGACAGTTATACTTCAAGTTAAATATGTAAACTCTATGACTATATTTAACATCTCTTGAAAACTCAGGTGCTATAGAATGGAGGAATGATCCTAAAATGGATACTGAATCTTGTGAATATTTCCTTCTGTCCCAAAAGGTTTTACACATTTCTCTGTGGTTCTTTGAAGTTAAGCGGATATTGTATTGTAAACTCAGTAGCCTTCAGAAAATACTTTTGATAGTGATGGGTGATATTCTTTCTCTAAGAGTTGTCTATTTCCACTGCCTGGTATATGTCCTATTCTTGTGTACATGGCAGAAGGACAAATACAGTTAAATTACATTCTCCAAAATGCTTGCGACAACTTTGTTTTACTTCCATCCTCTTCTCTCTTCACTTTCAAGCACTTTGATATTTACAGATTTCCAGTTTAGTCTGGAATGGGGGAAAAAATCTCTCTGTCTAAAGCAGTGTTTCTCAAACTTGGCAAGATGCGTAGACTTTGACTTCTGAGTGAGGAATGGTCAGCTAGCATGTCTCCAAGCAAGTGGAGATGACATTGCAGCCATGATTGAGAGAATAGTGGTAATAGACTGGTCTCATAGAACCTCTGTAGACATGGAAAGGACAGGAGATTGTTCACTTATACTCCAGATGGCTAAGAAGACTGCAGGATATCAAGGTTGATTTCATCCTTCCATCCTTCTGAGGTTGGTAAAATGAGAACGCAGATGGTTGGGGCAATATGCTGACTCTGTAAACTGCTTAGAGAGGGCTATAAAGCACTGTGAAACGGTATATAAGTCTAGGTGCTACTGCTATTGTTATAGCAGTTTCCTCCAGGTTTGAGGCCTCGGAGACAGGCATAGGTCGACACTAAGACAAATGGCAGAAAATTTTATGACATTTGAATTACTCCAGGAAATATTGGATATGGATTATAAGATGGAGATGACAGTAAAAGTGAAATATAGGTCTTATTTTAATCCTGGTCAAAGAAACCAACTTTTTACTTCTAGCAATCCTGAATTCATTCAGATATTGCGTAAATAAATACAAATGATACGCCAAAAGGTCCTTCTGGTTTTACAAGAGAGGTTTGCTAAAGCTTCAAAGGAGCCTTTGAGATGGGAAAACTTAAGAGAGATGACACCCTACGACATCTGAATGGATTCAAGACTGCTGCAAGCAAAGGAATACAAAGTTGGTTTGTTTGACCAAGGTTAAAGTAAGACATTTTTCTATAAAATTATGGGAACCCTTTATGAACTTTTGGTTGTTGCTAGGACTGAAATGTTAATAATTTATGAATTTGAATATGAGCAAGGGATCGGCTATGGAAAGAAGAGATACTTGCATATACCTTATAAGAGGTGAAGAATTACTAAATTTGTACATGTGATGAACAATCAAAAATCACTCTTTTAAATATTTTCTCTTTTTCTTATTTTTTTTCCCTCTTTCCTTTTTTTCCTTCTTTTCTACTTCTTATTCTGTTTGTTATTATTTTTTCCTTTCTGGGTTTAGTCTGTATTGTCCTTTATTATTGTTCCTTTTAAAAAAAAATCAATATACATATTTATTGTTTAAAAAGGTATGACTNAGCCTCCAGTCCCCTAATCCTCTTTGTTGCTCTTCTCTGCACTCTTTCTAGAGTCTCCATATATTTTGTGATGCGCAGGACTTTTGTCCTGATCTGACCTGATATCTACAGGGAGTCCTCGAATTACGACCATCCATTCAGCAACTGTTCAAAGTTATGGTGGCACTGAGAGGACTTACAACTGGCCCTCAAACTTCCAGCTGTTGCCACATCTGCATTGGCGAGATCCTTCTTAATCCAGGATCAACAGACGCTGCTACATAGCTTCTTTATTCTGTTTTCCAGTGCCCAAGCACACACGTACAACTTTGGAGGGGAATCATAGTTACAAATTTTAATTGAAATAACAGGGTTCCAAACATATTTAAATCATTGACAGCTTTTAGGTATCTGGTTTACAACTGGCTTTTGTAATATCTTAATACATCCCCGGCATGAAGAAAGCAAGGATTTGTATTGGTGAAACCCGAAAACACCACGAATTTCTAACTCAACCTTGTTTCCTCATGCTTCCCCTTTCACTAACGAACACCACTATCTAAGCATTCTTATGTCCTCAATGGAAGGCTTATTTCCCCCCCAAACCCACCCACCAAACCATACAATTATATGGTCATATATATGCCCTCCTTCTAGATAAACCCTTTGATTCATGCCAACATTCCCTTAAAAGAACCTTCCCCTGTCACAGTTGCGATGGAGATAAACGGAATTCCCTCAAGGCATCATCACACACATGGAAAACGTGAACAAAATCCTCAGGAAGATAGAAGCGGCCATCTTGGATCTTGGTTTGGGTTGACTCTTCTAGGGCGCCTCATGAAAAACAGAAGACCCATATCTGAAAGGGGGTGATTAGGCAGGGGAAACCCCTCTGAATCCCACTAGCATTCCTTCAGTGTAGATTAATCCTGCTAGGTGCATCTAGACATCAGGGCACCATCTTTCCGCATCCAGTTGTGGTTCTGGGATTGCAAGCCACTCTCAAAAGTGGTCTTTGTGAGAGACTGTTTCAACCTCTTGCTAACACTGCAATAAGCCCTCGTCTCGCATATGGTTTGAATGTGGTTAGATCCTTAAAATGCATTAAATACAGAAAGCGGGGACCCAAAATTCTATGCAGTGTTTTGCATGAATAAATTCGTTTCGCTCTAACAAGGGGCCCTTTCCATGAAATACTTCCTGCAAGAAAACTGTCTTCACCTTGTAAATACGGGCAGTTCTGCTGCTGAGCATTCCCTACTGTTAGAAAGTTTCTCTTAATATTTTAACTGATATCCACTTATTAGTTTTCATCCTGCCCTCAAAACAATGGAATAAAGGGTTGCCCTACAGCAGTGATGGCGAACCTTTTAGGCACAGAGTGCCCAAACTGGAAGGCGTGCACGCCAAAGCCCTGGAAACCCAATGACCAGCTAGCTGGCAGGCTTGCATGTCTTGGAAACCCAATGATCAGCTGGCTGACGCAAATGCGTGCCTTGGAAACCCAATGATCAGCT